TTAAGGTTGGCAGATTAACAAGAAGACAAAGGGGTCAAGCCTGCTTTCAGAGGAAAGCTAACAGTATCTATCAATCAATCAATCCATCAATGAGCCCCACTTGGTACCCACGTTGGCAGATCTCCATTAAGAACTGAAACATTTCATCTAAGACTTGGAAGGTGCCACACTTTATCAAAGTTATTCTCTAAGTAGTCAGATAGTTTAAGTAATCTATTTGGAACTTTGCAGAAAGTTAGCTTAGCAAACACACACTTCAGTGTGTCTGAACGTATCTGTCCTGAGGTGGCCCTAAGATTGACTATTTTAAATGGCACGCAGACTCTTTTGGGGTTTTGATGTTACAGTTGAGGTATGTAAAGTAAAAGTGCATAGCATTTGTTTCAACTGGTTCCCACATGACAGAAATAAGAAGATGATATTCCTCTTCTTTAAAGTTTCGCCACTGGTACATGATTAAGAAAACCTCCTCTCGACCCCCTACCCCAACCAGGAAGAATCTGACGGCCCGGATTATAGTACAGGTAGATATTAAAATGGAGACAGAGCCGTTATTTAGTGGTTACAGGAATATAAATACGTGCGCTAACCTATAAACTGGTATTTACTTCAGGAAGGTAAGTAATATTTTTCCTCTGATTGCTGAGCTGTCAGTTTAATGCAGCGTAAATAAACAGTAGGTGCCTGCTAGCTTGAAGTAGGAAGTGTTCATTCCACACGAGGAACAGATTACTGAAGCCTGATGCTCATCATGCTGAAACATAACTTTCATTTTACCAGAAAATACACCCTACCGTGGATGATTTTTCGTGCCTGATCTATTAATTAACTTAACTCTGTTCTGTCAAAATGTAAACCAATTTGTTAAAAATCATCCCAGTTTTGGAGTTTGAAACCCAAATCAATTTGAAAAGCAAGAGTAATGACCATTCTGTAATCTGATCTCAAATGCTAAAAATGAACACTTAACATAATAAGCATAAACTATACAAAACTAAGACAAAGAACATATTTAAATATAGATCTCAATAATCTGAGGTGCTCAATTTACCCTAAGATCTTACTCGTTTGCTAATTAAAAACAACTGGCACCTTTAATATTTCACAACCTTGTGCTACTTAGGTCCGTTCAAGATGTAGGCTTATTCTGCCCTCTGAAATATCCAAAAGTAACCCACTGGTAAACATCAAATCACCCCCCTTAATTCTGATAGAAATAGTACTGCACTCTCCTCAGAGAAGTGGCAAGTTTGAAGATCAAATGATGATACCTTTCCTAATAGCATTCATGTAAAATGTGGGTTTCTTCCCATTTTCTATATACCACAAAGCTATGATGGTCTACAGCAACTAATTTCCTCCTTACACACAAGTGTTGAGCAAAATATTTCATGGCATTATTTAAAATGGGAACTCATCTAAAAAGGATAGAAGGCAATTTGGGGAGGTTTCTATTTAAATTATGGACAAATTCTGATAATGAAACAGTGGATTGTAAAGGAAAAAGAGGGGCCTAAAAATAATATTTTTGCATTCGACTACAACAAGTCTAGACATAGTCTGAAGATTGATTCAGTCGTATGCATTTATTTTATATACTTCATCAATCCCAAGTACTAATATAAGAGTCATCCAAGACAACACGTCTTGGAAGAAATGATTTGTTTGTGTGAGGGGCATATCTGTGTATGGCCCTCTTGGAAATTTACAGAGCAGAAGAAAAGCCACTAGAGTGCTTTATAGAGTCCCTGCTGTATATCCATGTTGTGTTTAGCTTAATAGTGTTTGTAACCAAAAGATTTTCACAATAATGAGGAACAGGTGCCTGTCACCTGACCTTTTAGGCCTAATTTACAATCCACAACCTGTCACATGAAAAAAAATAATTGAAAGTCTCCTTCAGATACTTCAGTCTTCACTAATTTAATGTAGTCTTTCTTAAACATCACTCAGCATACCATAGCTGATTCAATCACAGGTTCACATAGCTGGCAACAGACTCCTCTGCAGAAATAAACCAATACTCATTTTGTTGTTGTTCTTGTTTAAGATGCTGGGAGACAAAAGAACGACTTTTGTAGATTATCAACTGAAGAATATATTAATTTACTACAACAACTAAACAAAAGGCATTCCTTTTGAATACTTTTACATACAAAGAACTATTATTTATTACATATTTCAGCTTGTGGGAAAATGAGGAATGCATTGATTCTGGAAATAACTATTCAGACTTTTGGAAGTTCTTTGGGTCTTCTTTCTCTACCTCTTTCTTCCCCCTTCTCCCCCTTGTTCTCCCTAACCCACACCCCCCTCCCCACGCATTTTAAGGCACTAGTACTTTAGGAGGGAAATCCCTATCTGGTCTTCTTTTCATCCATCATTTGTATTCATTATTCAGAAAGGAGTACAAAATTGAGCAGTGATTTTTCTCCTGTATAATCTTGTTACATGTAGCCATACTTAAATTTAACAATGCTTTGTGTTTTACAGCTACTGTTTACATATTATGCCTTACAACTCTACACTTAAAATACTGTTTCCATGAGAAAAAAAAATGGAGTAATGAGTGTCAAATGGAGATGAAGAATAAACATGCTTGGTATCTTTATAAAATGCATAGTCACTTACAACGTGCACAAATAGGATACATATAAATTGCCATGGTTACATTTTATATAGTATACACATAGTCTAAAGTATATTTAATAATGTGCCTAGCCAAGTTAATTAAAGTATTTATGTCTGGTGACTGTGTTAAACACTTGGAGAGGTAGTGAAAGATACAGCCAGTTACTTCTGCTAACTAAAGTTGAAATTATGCACTTATTATAACCTTTTCTAACAATGTGAGAAAAACAGAGTAAATATATTAAATTTGTTTCACAACAGATGCTTAGGTTGTTAATATTTAAGATGCCTATTCATGCTATTCCTGTCTGCACATTTGTCAAAAATGTAAGCTTGAATGCTAATGTTTGCCAGCAGACTGGAGCAGCCAGTGTATGAATGTACTACTGTTCTACTAAAATAATATGCAATAGAAATAAAAGAGTGCTGCTAAATCATAGCATTAGTACCACACAGCAGACTAAAGGCTTTTAGAGCAAACACCTCAACCTTGGCTTTCTCCAGTCTTAAAGTACGGTTTTGGTTGTTCTTGCTGTTGGCTTTTGCAGCTACGTTTTTCTATAGAATCAATCTTACATCCCTGACGTCGCAGAAAAATCCACTTTAGAGAGGGTGTAAATTTCAATAAAGTTTCAACGGCACGAGTTACTGGTCGGTAACACAGACACTGTAGATTTCAGGGACTGCTTAAGACAAAACCTGACACTTACCAGGAGCTTTTCACTAATTTCTTACACCTCCTTTGCCCTGTTGGAAAAGTCAAGCACCCTGGCCTCCAAGGATGCAAGCAGGGAACCGCGGCCAGTCCGGGTAGAAAGGTTCTCTCTTGAGATTAGGACCTCTTTCTGTTTTCCCTGTCTCTTCTACAAGCGTGTAGAGTACAGGTCTTACAACATTTGCCTGGAAATCTGTTATGCCGCAGAGAAAGTTCGCCGAGGAAGGGCGCAGAGGTCAAAGTTGCCAACCAGGGCACTTTGAGAGGCGATCCTGTGGCTGACACTAGTAAGTGAAATTTGCAACGCCCCAGTGGAGGTCCGGGCCAGGACCTCCGGCGAGAGCCCTAAGCCCCTTCCGTCTTCTGGGGTCATCCCAAGAGTCCTGCTCAGTGCATTTCTCCGGTAGGCGCGTGTCACTCCCCGTACCTGCCACCTGCCTGCTTTGTCCCTCTTATCCTGGTTGCCCAAACCCACGCTCCGCCGCCCCGCAGTGAAGCGCTCGGAAAAGGCCGCCACGCTCGGGTCGGGACCGAAGGAGGGAGACAAGGTGCGGACCCCGAGGCCGCACCTGTGCTGTCTCGGTTCTGCTAAGAGGGCAGCACCTCCTCTCGCCTCCAGCCCTACTCCAAACCTTCACTCACGCCAGGGGCCCCTGCAGCACCGACCTCACGACCGCCAGCGAGGGCTCGAAATGCGGAGTGCCGCGGCTTTCAAAATCCCGGCTCCAACTTCAGCGCCCCGGCGCCCGAGTGTTCCCGGGATGGAGAAGTTGCCACTAACTTCCTAGGCCCCTCTCCGCCGCCGCTCCCACCCAGCCGCGCGGGCGGGGGGCGGAGGAAGGAGGAGACGGACCGGGGAAGGATGCTGAGCTCACTTGCGGTCCGGCGGGGAAGGGCTCTGCTCCCCCAGTCTACTCCGCCGGGCACCTTTACGCCAGCCCAGCTCCAGGGCGCACGGAGGGGTTTGCTTTCCCTTTCCCGTTTGCTCCCTTCGGTCTTTTCGGCTCCCCTTTTCTCTTCCAAGAGGGGTCATACTGATGACCCGAAGGAGTTTGTTCAGCCAGGATTTGTTGGGCAGGTGTGTTAGTGTGCCCACACCCTGAGAGAGAATGAATGGCATCTCCAAGTCCCCCGTTCCGGGTGCTCTCCCATGCTCTACCTGCCCACCCCTCCGGGGTCCGGCTGCCCACGAGGGAAGGGGCCCCGAAAACCCCTGTCCACGGACGTCCACAAGAGAGGAGCCGCGTCGCCCCAAGAAGGGGCGCCGTGGGTGGGTGTTACGGAGAAGTTTGGATCGATTCCGACAAAAGAGAGATCGAGATGAAAGAGCAAGAATGGGTGGGGGGGGGGGAAGAGATGCAAAGGCGCAGGACTCACTCAGGCATGGGCGTTGGGGGCGGCGGTGGCTGCGGAGTGCGGGCCCGCGACCAGGAACAGCTCCCCGGGCGGGCGCGCCGGCGTCGGACTTCCGAGGCGGCGGCTTCTGCCTCCTGTGCTGCCGCCGCCGGAGCTGCGGCTGCCGCGGAAGTTAATTGCAACTTGACTTCAAGTTGTCTTCTTTCCCCATCCGAAGTGGGCGTTTAAAGGGGAGAGCGAGGCGAGGAGCGAGCTAGCGAGCGCGCGGGGCCGAGGGAAGGAAGGGGGGGGAGGGAGGGGATGTTAACGGGGGAGGAGGGGGAGGGGGCGGCGGCGGGGGCGGGAGGGGGAAGGGGCCGGCGGGAGCTGCTCTCCGCTCGGCGGTCGCCGCGCCCGCAGTCTGGAGGCGCACCGGAGCGGCCGGGGCGCCCCCCGCGGGAGCCCGCAGCCCCCCGGAGCGCGCATCCAGCCGCGGCTCCTTCGGCCCGGCACGCCGCGCCCGGGGGCTCCGCGGACCCCGCGTCGCCGCGGCTCCCGAGCTGGTGCGGCGCGGGGCTGGGCGGCGGGGCGGCGAGGGCCCGGCCCGCCTCCCCAGCGCCCGCCCCGGCTTCTCCCCCTGGCGGCGGAGCCTCGGCGGCCGCCGGCTACACTAAGCGCGCCGGAGCCCGAGCCGAGCCGAGCCCGAGCCGCCGCCGCCGCCGCCGCCGCCGCCGCCGCTGCCGCGCGCCGCTCCCAGGCTCCCTCCCAGCGCGCGGGCCGGGGTGTGGGGGGCGGCGGGCCGGAGGGACGAGGGCGGGCGACAGGCGCGCGCTGGGATTGGCGCCGAAGACCGGACCCTCAGCCGCTAGGGGTAAGTGTGGGCGCCTGGGAGTGCGCTTAGGGGTGCGCGGCGCGGTTCTCGACGCCAGCCAACCCTGCCCCCTCACCTCTCCCGGGCCCCCACCATGCGCACCCCTCCTCTTGCAGCCTGCGGCTTCCTCTTGTTGTTCGTTGTTTGGCTGGGCTTTTTTTTGGGGGGGGGAGAAGCGGGTGATTGTAGTGTGTGTGCCAGCGGAGGAGGAAGTCAGGTGAGAGGCTCCGACGCACACCCCCCCCCCCCCAGCCCGCATGGGGTGTATCGCTACCCACTAGGGTCATGTGGAATCATTTTTTCTCTTATCAGTGTTCGGCCGAGAAGATCTTTTCTAGGGGGCCTGCTTCCCTTACAGCCTGCGCTGTCCATCTCCCTCCACCCTACCTTAGCCCCTTTCAGCACCCCATCCAAGAGCGAGGACCCCAACTGAGAAGCACGTGGCGGGAGGAGAAGGGGGGCACTCAGGCAGACCCCCACGCCGCGCCTCTGCCTCTGTGTCTAAGATGTATTCTCCCGTCGGCATCTGTACTTCTTTGCAATCCCCTGAGGAGAGACCCCTAAACTGAGGTCCAGTTCATCCAAAAAGCTGGCAGCAAAGGGGGCAAGTGGTGAGAATGTAATGACAGGGGGCTGGCGGACGAGAGGGCCAAGGAGCCTTCCCGAAAGGTGAATGAAACTCCAAAAAACCTCTGCAAGAGCAGAGTGACTTGGAGGTTCGGGACCCCAGGCTAGGGAGAAAGGGTAAGGGTTAGGGTCAACTTTGCCCCCCTCCTCCTCCCCTCCTCCTCCCCTACCCCGCTCTCACCCCCACCCAGCTCCATGGAAGCTAACAGGTCTTTTGTGTTGTGTTGTGCCGTCTTTGGGAAATTTGCATTGAGAATGACAACAGAAAATTACTACTGCTTACTCAAAGTTAAGGGGTTTGCAGAAAGAAAAAAAAAAGTCTACTTTTTTTTTTCTTCGTGCGTGTAGTTGTTAGGCTCAGCGCTTAAACTGCAAAACGTCAGTTTGTAACAATAAGGACTGTAGAGCCGCCTCGGTGTATTTTTAGAAGCTGCACTTTCCTGAGTTGCTTTCACACAAGGCTTGCTCTCTCTTTAAAGTCCCCATACAGAATTGTATTTAGAGAGGAGGAAACTATGGAAGCAGGAAGGAGATTGCTAAGATCTCCATCCCGCCAGCGCAGAGCACTGTTTGCAGTGAAGTTCCTGGAAAGTGACTGTGGGCTGAGAATTCATTTTTTCCTAAAAGCTCTGTTAGGTCCTCTTCTGTCAGATGTCTATGAATAAAGCACGCCGGGAAAATCCTCCTATCCGTGCAGTCTTATTTTATCTTTTACACAGTGGTTGATTCTGCTTTCAAGTCCTGGTAACAGCACATCAACTGTGCTGTATTTTTGTGTGGTTTTTCTAAATAAAGGAGGGTAGTTCATGTATCCATGCTGCTTTCTGATATGCCAGTTCTTTCCTATGGTGGGTATTGGATTCACTGGAATGTCCGTCTTTTTCAGTTGGTTGTCACTTTATGCAGAGACAACAATTCCAAGGACCTGAGGTTATTAAAAGTTTATGAATTAGTGTTTTAGAGAACTAGCGCCTCGTGCGCCTCATTTCTAAGACGCAAGTGCCCACCTCAACTTCTAGTTCTGAAAAACAAAACAAAAAGGTATAAATGCCATGGGCAAAAACAAAACCCAAGTTTTCCTTCCTGGACCACCTTATGCATCCGTAGGACCCAAGAGGTGCCAAATCCTCCTGCCTCAATTTACCAAAATGCCAAATTGCCTCACTAGTACCAGTATCTCCATCTGGGAATGATATCAGGTTTGGACTGGAAGAATTCTCAGTTTTTAATTACTGCTTATTAGCAATTTCTTATAGCAGGCAGCCGATTCTCCAATTCTGAAAGGCTGAAATGAAGCTTACAGAAATTGAAATACAAAAACAGAATTGTTTTTTTTTCTCTCTTACACTCTCTTACATACTCATTTATTTATTCCTTAGAGTTATCAACTAAGTCCCCCGAATTTAAGGTATTATATGCTCCCTTACATTAAGCCATGGGAACATTTTGCCCCAACCTTGTGAATTTGCTTTTTTCTCCATAAATAGTCTTGAACAGAGAGCTCACAGGCTCCATTATAAAAACAGAATTATGTAATGATGGGTACAGTGCATTAAGTAACATAACTTGATAAACTCTTTTGTAAACCTTGCCCCGTGGCACATAGTAGGAATACATTAAATACTTTCACTGAATTATGATGTTAATGAAATATTGTAATTGGCCACAGATTCAATGGTACTAGGGTAAGGCACTTTTTTTTTCCAGAAGAAAAAGGTATTTTGCCTGAAAGTTATTAGGGTAATACAGTTGTGCTCCTAGATTTTTTTTTTTAACAAGTCCAAATCTAATTTAAATGGTTGAAAGACAAGTAAATCTGAAACATATCAAATGGTTAACAATAATAGCTAGTGTCAAAAGCTGATTCTTTTCCTAGGAGAATAGACAACAAATCTTGCTTACTAAATAGTGCAAGAAAGATGCAAAGGAGGGATAAAACAGTACTGGCCTGCAAAGAATTTGGTGGAGAGATGACATCAAAATGTGAAAAGACAACTCCGTGGATCAGCGAATAGATGGAATCAAAGGCCTATTTGAGAAACTAGATTTGAGGAAATAGACATCCTGCATTCCCAGGTTGAAATGTGTTTTTGGAGGTACTTTTCTGCCAAACCTTCAGGGGCTATCAGTGCAAACACCCTGAATAAAGAGTAATTCACCACTTACCCACCCAAAGGCAGGGATTTTATCTCCAGAAGAGTTACCACAGGGTAAAGTTCAATGTATATTGTGTATATAAATGAGGAATATACCAAGTAATTCCTTCCATCATTGTACAGTTTATTCCATCTTTTAAAACACTGAACAAAATTGAGGCAGACTTTGCTCAAACTTTCAACCCTAAAACTCCTAAATCCTATAGACCCTAAAACTTTCAGCCATCAGTCTTAGTTCCGCCATTTGCAGCAAAACAGAGCGAATCTGTTACACTAGTCAGGAAAGTCTATCTTATGGCAGCATAACAAATGATTGCAATGTTTAGTGACCTGGATGGCAAAAATTGTTTTCTTGGTCATGCTGATTCCACGCCTCCTCATTCAGGGTCCCAGGCTGACAGAATAGCTGCCATCTTGAATGTTTCATGTTGCTATGGCAAAAATAAAGGTCATTTAAATACTGTGGCCGGAAGTGACACACGTCATTTGGGCTCACAACTAATTGGCTAGGACTGTATCATCACAATGAGGCCGGATACAGCCTATCTTGAGCCCCAAAGTAGAGAGCCACGGTGCCCAGGTTTAAGGGCTAACATACTCTTAAGGGCCCTTGTGCACTGAATCCTCTAACTGAGCCATCCCACCCTGCTCCTTTGTGGCCCAGATGTCCCATTCTTCAGAGTAAATACTGCCAGAGAGGCCACCAAGTTCTAGGGAGGCATGCTATGACTTCTTTCACCATCTTTTCTCTTTGAATGCAAGACTCCAGTCCCACCCCTCCCCCAACAGATTGCAGTGCCCAAATCAATTTTAAGTCGGTCTCTATATATTCCCTAATATTATATGTATTTTATTTTTTCAAGACTTGTTTTCCGAGAAAGGGTACGATGAACAGGAACTTTTGAAAAGTGTTATCTGGGAGAAAAAAATGTTATCTGAAGATGTCATGATCGTTATCAAATTTTGAAATTTTTGTCTTGAGTAGTTACTTCCCTTATTTTAAACATCAAAATGTTGCAACACAAATAAATTCTTTTGGAAGTATTCATTCATTCATTCATTTATCCATCTTTTTATTGATTCAATAAATACTCATTTATTGATGTCAAACACTCTATTAAGGACTGGGTATGTGGAGATGATTGAGAAGTTCTTCTTTTCAAGAAACACATTTTTTAATTGGGCAGACAAAAAGAAAAGTCATTGCAATGCTACTAGAGGCACAAAGTGCTATGGGAACACTTGGGAAGAAGCAAATAACTCTCTGGCAGGATTAAGGAAAGTTCCTTAGAGGAGTTGAACGAAGTCCCGAGAGTGAGACTCCCCTAGTCCGAAAAAGAAGATAGAGGATATTTTAAGCAGAGAGAACAGTATGAGTAAAGGCACCGAGGATGACAAAGCTTGTTGTTTAGGGAACTACCAGGAGCTCAGTGTGCCTGGAACATGAGGTCTTTGTGAAGGATGAAATCACGCAGCTACAATTTGTGAAGAATCTTGCAAACATGCTATAGAGGTTAGACGTTATCCCACCTATCAGGGATCTCAAACCCTTCTGACTACTCGGGGCCAAGCGTGGACGTAAGTGAGCTGAGCAGACCAAGTTGAGACCATAAGCAGTGGTGGGCACTGTGGCAATCTGGAGGGTATATTCTCTGTCCAGATGGGATAGTCATTGCCAGTGGTGCCCAACGTCACATCTTCCAGGTGCTAAAGAGAAGCTGCTCATTTGGATTTATATGAAAAATGGAAGTATTCAACGCTGAGGACTTAACCTCATTTTAAAGTACACCTGTGGGGAGTACACATGTCTACAGACCAAAATCAGCCTAAAGACCGCCAGTCAGATGTCTCCTACTGCATGAGATAGGGAGCCATTAAAGGTTGTAAGGATGGGAGTAGCACCATCAGACCTCACTAGAAAGATTACTGTGATGGCAAAATGGACAGGGAAAATCTGGAGCCTGGTAGGCTGTAGTTGATAATCCATAGTATCATTTGAGAGGTGATGCAAAGCTCTTTATAACACTGCCCTTTTTCAGTACATAACTGAAATTTTCAGTACATTCCCTTGCATATGGGAGCACCTGATAAATATCTGAAAGGCTAATGAATGAAAGAGAAGAAAGCTAAAGTTTTAGAAGGAGGGCACATTTTTTTTGAGGGCCCCTTATACCATATGCTTCCTTCATTAGACTGTTAATTTTTCAAGAGCACAAT